CATTAATTCAGTTTTCGATGTTGCGTAATGAAATTCCCAAAAATCGATTACATTGCTTCACGTAATTACATTGTTGGCATATTCTCCGACTGTTGTCGCAACGAGTCTGATTAAGAGCGGACGAAATGGGCCGTACGAACCTCAAATATTTTAATTGTTATTTTATTGGATTTTGATGTGAATTTAAAGTTTGGTTTTTTTTCTCTCGAAAATTCGTTCTTTTGTTTGTGATTTTGTAAGAGCTGAGCAGTTAGCCACACAATATTTGTGTATACAAGCAATACGCACCACATTCCTCTCTGTAGATGTTTGGCATTCATGTAACCCGTGTAACAGCGGTACTTTTTTTGGCTGTCAAAGATTGCTTCGATCAATCAGCCTTTTACATGTACTCGAAGCGTACTGTCCACAAAAATGTCGGAAAAGTAAAAGAGGCTGAGTGAAACATACTGTAGGACACAGTCATCGCTTGACTGTATAGCGATCATACAGTGCATGAGCACAGTAGAAAGATACATTGTTGTCGCTCCATATCCTCAATCTCTGAGTATAATTTTGGAATATCATCTTCACCTACAATTTGTGGCATCAATTGTCTTTGTCTTGGTTATGTGTATGTTGAATAAATGGGTGAGATCATTGAGTAAAGAGAAAACTATATCAGATATTCGTATCGAGAAAAGTGATCAACAATGCAGCGTTGAGAAAGTAACGTTTCAATCTACACACCTCTTATGTAAGAGGATGAAAAATTAGAAGAAATAAAGTCAATTGTCTCATTGGTAACTTTCACACTTTTTGGTTGATTTTTTCTTTCACATTTTCCCACATCATTTAATAGTTGTGTAGGATTTAGGATGGAAACTCAAACATTGACTTACGTTAGAAATATTTCAATTTTGTCACCATAAAGACTTAAACGTGAACAGCCAAATGAATAAATGGGCTACGGATATTCGGTAGTTTACAAAGTTGATTTGAAATTTGTCATAAACAGGCAAGGTCATGCCAACCGTTTTTTTGGTGTGATCATCAAATCAATGGAATAAAATAATGCTCATTCAATCATAAATTAATGCCACGAGCGTCTGGTATACTGGCTTACGGAATAATGCGACACAATATTAACACCAAAAAGTGATAGCAATTTTTCATTGAATGAAAGAAAGGTTCGTAGTAAACGAAGAACCGTGTTGAATGCAGCACAACTGGATACGTATGTGTGTGTGTCAGTGTGGGCACCACCAGCTCTGCCAATGACTTTATTTATTCGCTGTGGTTAATCATGTCTAGATTCATTAGAATGTACAACAATGAATATAGACAGTATATATGTCTGTTCGCAACCATGGGCATGCATTCGCACTGTTTACATATATTCTTACATTCGTGTTCGAAGGGACAGCAACTCTTGCCGTTGAGCGAAAATTCCGGTAATGTTCTTTGAATCGATGGATATAACGCCTACACAAAGGTGCGTTAGCGAAGAATAAAACGGCCAAGCCAAACAATTACATCAAAGTCGGAAGATAAGCGAACAACATTTTCTTGTATCGGAATATAATGGTGTTGTATCAATCAATCTCGACGTTTGCTAAGTTTGCCATTCCATGTTGATCCTTGTTCACCGGACAACACAAATTGTTCTATGCTATCGTCCTTAATTGCTTATGCATGTTGACATTGTTTCTATCATTTTTATGATGGTGATAATTTGTATGGACAAATTTATGGGGCATACATGCGTTGAACAGATGATTTTTTTTTTAGAAAACACGACCGTAGGGTGTTAAATGCATTAGCACTCGGATCACACTCGAGAACATAAATTGAAGATACTTCTTTCAATTCTGAAATCTATTCGTATAATTCTTGAAATGAAAACATATCGTTTGCAATGTAACCACGCAAATTTCTCCTACAATTTCTCTATATGGGGCGAAATAATATTTGCTGTTCTTGTGTTTCATGTTATTGAAAACACTGAACAATAACATCAAACTGTCGATACAGAATATCCAAACCGATTCGGTACAAAATTTATTCTGGTCGCATACATAAACATGAAATAAGTTTTCAGATTCAAACGGATTGGGAATAAAGTGATTGAGAGATGATTGTGGTTAGTATGAGCATGCAAAAGCAAAAAAGTGTGATATGTAGTTAAATTAAAACAGCTTCTGGAGATAACACATTTCGTTGAGTATTTATCAAAGTCATCCAAAACTTGAGTGTCAAAAAACGCAAATAAACAACGCTGTCGTATTACGAGGAGTAAAGTTTGTTGACATCTGTGAGATAACTAACCACAAGAGCTTCTTCAAATGGTAAACATTTCATTCGAATTTTGTTGTTGGGGCAAAAGTTAAGAATTTGAGAAGTTGTGTAGACCGCTCGATCTTGCGTATGTTCGCAATCTCATTCAAACAATAAATAATGAGTGCGTTCTAAGGTGAGATTACTGGAACGTACCACTACTGGCGCGTTTCAAGGGGAAATATCAATAGTTCAATCAACCACAATTGTAAGAAGTCAACTGACTTCAGTCTAAACTCACCATTCATACATTCAATAACAGAACTTAATTGAATACATTTATTAACCCGAAACCAAATGCGTTTCATTTTGGATAATAATTTAGTTTTATTTTGATTTAACCGATACAGTACTCTCACACTGTTATAGTTGGAATATTTCTTACTGCAAGGTATCAAAATTTTGATTAGACACCTATATTACTAAAAAAATTATTACAAATTTTAGGCAATTGAAAAAGTTTCTTCTGAATATCGCGAATAAAATTATCCAAATGAAATATGTTCATTTGTTCATATTCACTTAAGGTCACACCATTCTGGAATGGCATAAAAGCCAGTACGACTAAGTAGCGCAGGAAAGGTATAACAGTTTAATTTTGGTTTCGACGTTCAAATCGGATGCAAAATGCATAAACACCACGTATTCATTAATCATACGGTGCATCGTACTGTAATGATGATTTCATTAACATTTACCGAATTAAGATCACTCGAACAACTTCTTGAACTATGCATGAAAAAGTTGTTGACGGTTTTTCTATTGACGGCTACAGAATCGATGGAGTCAAAGACACGAAAACAATGAAAACATCAAGAAGCATGAACGAAATGTGATGAATGTATGTGGAATACGGCGTTTGGTGCTATGTTTTTTTTTCTTTCGTTTCGTCTTCTGAATTTCTGTCGATTGGACTGTAGTATGGATGATGTATAATAACACGTCATTGTTAAAATGCTATTAAGCTCTTACGCCCTTTCGAACAACGACCAGTGCGATGATGGTGTTCCGCTGTTTTGTCTCTCATTTCTATAGCACACATTATATTAAAATGCTATTAGAAGTATAATTCATTAGGATGCCACGAAAAGCCAGGCAGAAGCAAAATAGAGAAGAAGAAAAATGTAACGCGCGCGCAACATTGTGCAACACATGAATTCATTTGAATGTTTAGGCAAGCATCAAACACCACAATTACTATTCATCATGCCAAAATGACTACAAGAGGAAAAAGATCCGAGTATACGAAGAACAACAAAGAAATACAAATATCGACGACTATCCAAACTGGCAACAGAAAATGACGAGAGAGAGAGAGAGAGAGAGAGAGAGAGAGAGAGAGAGAGAGAGAGAGAAGAAAAACGAGAACATGATGATGAAGGTTTGGCACTCGGTGATGTTTGCATCGCATATACCTGTTACATATACATACAGTGTGCTCACTTTTTGTTTATTTTACTTTTTGTTTCGCCTGCTCTCTTGTCACTTTTTTTGGTTCTTCTTTTTCATGTGCTGTAATTTCGTTCATTTTTTTATATCGTTCGCAGGCCGCGATACTTTATTCTTTCGAACTGAATGCCATTCAATATTCTTTCACATCTTTTTTCATGTCTTTGCATTCGGTTTTTGTTTAGTACTTTATTCATTCGCATTAGAATTGCATTAGCTCTCTCTCTCCCTCCCTCGCATACTACAGCATTGACTTCAACTATTTTGTTGATCATTGTTTTGTTGCATACTCGATCTTCTTTCATGCGGGCCATTGCACATTAGCAAATTATGCATCGATTTCCCACTTCAAACAATAAGCATCATGGAACGGAGCCCAATTGATGGCAACAGTAACGAAAATTTAATTTCGGTGCTCAAGAAGCGTAATGAAAATATCATCGATTTTATGGCCTATAAAATCCCACGAAGAAAACAACTAACAGCACATGAAGTACACATTTTGTAAACGGCCAAAATTGCATTTACTATTGGTAAAAAATTTAATTCTAAATTGAACCTCGCATTGATGGTGGTTTTGTTCGGTGGTCTTGAACGAATGCTGTTTCGTTTTTCTCCTCTTCATTCAATTATACTTCAGCATGGCATTTTTGTTGAAGAGAGAGAGAGAGAGAGAGAGAGAGAGAGAGAGAGAGAGAGAGAGAGAGAGAGAGAGAACGAGAGAGAGAGAGAGAACGAGAGAGAGAGAGAGAACGAGAGAGAGAGAGAGAGAGAGAGAGAGAGAGAGAGATGTGCAACGAAAGCGGCGCGAATGGTTGACTATATGTGACGTTGCCACTTCTGATTTCATTTTACAATGTTTATTAAGTTGATGACATTAGTTTGAAGCAAAAATAATCGATTACATTGAAAAAAGTTCAAACAATAAAGAAATATAAGATCACTTGGTATCAGTCGATCTGCAAATTGATCTTATCTTCAAATCCGGATGGTAGGGATTGTAACAAATTTGACATTCTGCTGTGACGGCAAAGATCTAGATAGTGGAATGACAAGAAAACATAATTCAGCGCCTATCAGAAGTTATCACATTGACAAGCATATGCTCTAAATATCGACACAGCAAATGATCCACGCTATTTAAAAATCACCAAACTTATCAATAACGCTTATAAAAATCAGAAAGAAAACTTACTGAAAGCAATTTAATAACAATTTTCTTTGCTTTATTTCAGACTTGGTCCATTGGAAACTTTACCGCGGGAAATGGTTTCACGTCGAAAGATTTTATCTCGTTCGCGAGATGATCTGAACCTAGAACATCAATATCAGCAGCAACAAGACGAAGAAGAAGATGTTTGGTATCAAAAAGATAAGCTCTATAAGGTGAGAAAATCCGATGCATTTCTCTGTATTTTACACACTGATTGAGACATGATTGACGAAATACAATGATAACAATCCAAACACGGATTGTGACATCGCATAAAGCGAGCGATCAAGAGAGAAAAAAGTGCACTCTTGTTATTCATGTCCCCTACTTGTTGTATACATATGCCATGGGAAAATATGAGAAATTTCAATGCAAGTGAAATAACGAAATTGAAACACCTTTTATGTGCGTTTTCCCGCCATTCGCTGCGCTATATTTTTAATATATTTTGTAAGTAAAGTAAAACAATAACGAAAATGAGTGAATTATTAATTATGGGAATCGCTTTCAAAATACACAGATTTTAAGCGAATTTATGACACAGTGATTTTTGTGTAGCGGTCCCGCCCCATCCACAATTTCACATTGTTTATAGTAACAATACAGTTTGCCTTATCATAGATGTTTTAAAACCCTGTTGCTGCTTGTGCAATGGTTTTCATTGAAGATGTAATCTACATCCGAAAAAAAACGAACGCGGAGAATCATGTGGAAAAATTGGAGTTGAAAACCCTACGCCAACAATTATAGATTGATTTTCATTTCATTTCTCGGCACCGGTTTTAATAATGGTACTGTACAAATCATCTGTTCAAATAGGCCGGCATAGAATATTTATCTACGATAAAATTCCATTGTCTAAATTCCAAGTAGGCACATGAGACTATGGATTTATCTTCAACCACGAGAAGGTTTCATAATCGCAATGCGAGCGCTCGCACCCGCAACTTACTTATATTGTATTAAAATGCTAAAGTGCAATTTGTTGTTTTTTTCTCTCACACGTTAAATTTGAACCAATTTGAACTGCCATACTACACTTAATGTGGCTGTTCAAATCGGTTCGAATTTTCTTGTTGCCAAGGTCTAGCTTTTTTATTTTCTTTTCTTTTCGTTTTTTGGTTCAAGAAATCTGACTCCATGAATGGGACAATTTGAATTTATTTCCATGCATGCATGCATAAAACACTTTATTGTATTAATTGCTTTGGCCTGTGAAGTTATTTTATTTGATAATGTCAGAGGAGCTTTGCACTCGCTCGAAAACATTCAGAGTAAGAGAATACCAAATTATAAATCAATCATGTTATATTACTCGCCTCGAATTACGAATCGAATAGAAAAACCGAAACAACCTTTAACTGTCTATGTGTAGAATGATGATTTGCATTTCAGAGATGCGGTTCACCGTTGATTTGTGTGAAAAGACAAGCGGATTGAGCATTCAGACATTTGGATGCTATGTAAAAACGACCATTCTTTTGACATTTGTCGTCTTTCGCATAGAAGAGTAGTGAAGAAGAAGAAGAAGAAGAAGAAGAAGAAACACTCTGATCCCAGTGCAACTTGCATAAAGCATTTAGTTGTTGTTCCAAAAAATGGCATTATACCAAGCGTATCGTATTTATTTAATCGCATTCACATGATATTTCGCTGGTTAAAAACCAACTCATGAACATTCATAATAAATGAAAACGAGGAAAAAAAAACAATGTGAATATTCGGACACTGATGCAATCGTAGAACGGATCATCTTTCACTGCCGCAAATACTTGAGCCAACAAAAGTGAGATATTGAACGGCTTCATTTCGTTTGACTCGGTGTGATTTTTTTTTTCATCTTTTTCTAAGAGCTGATACAAGCGCAGTTTAAATTATCGTACACAAATTTACATGATAAATATTAAATAATCATCGTATTTATGGCCAGCTGACATTTTTTCGGCTGTTTTAACGATTTACTCATGTATACTTATATACATTTCATAATATCGGCACAATCACAGCGGTGCGAATGGGCACTCCATTTATCATTGAAAGCAACGGCCAGATGTTTGTCATGCGTTATAATGACATGTACAATGGTGAAATAGCATATTGCTATGCATATACCGTTAGATTACTTTTGCACATTAATTCGATGAGCGTACACCACAACTGGTGTTAATCAATCGTGTCGTCTGATGTATGCACCCACAGTCTTGCAGACAAACAAAAAAAACGCATTTTATTGGAAGTGAACACCAAAATGACTTTTTTTAAACAGAAAACAAAAGCAATTAACATGCGTATTAATAGAGTCAATTACTGATAACTGAGAAATTTGTTCACATATCAATCAAATTGCGAAATATCTAATGGTTATCTCAAATAGTAGCCAGGTTTAGAACGGATTGCACGGTTTGGAAAACAACTGGGAACGTATATTTATTTATTTGAATGCAATGGGTAGGAAAAATGTGTGCATGCCAACGCGTAAACAACTCTCATAGTAGCGGCAGCACTGGCATATTGATGAATTGTGAGTGTACAGAATAAATGAATTTCTCTCGCCACTACCATTGACCATGTTGACGCATGTAATTCTAATTTGTTTGCGTTTTCTCCCACGACCAACAAAAAGAGTTTTTTTTTCAAAGCCTGAAATGTTGTTTAGAATTAAAACAGCACTGATCAAAGATGCGATCTGATGCTAATGCCAAGAAAAGTCTTGTGTCTCCATGCGTTCCTTTTTGCAGCCCAAGAAATGTATGGAGACTTTATCTTGACAGTCTTTTTTAAATCAAATGCGAAAATGTTGCAACGAAAGCAAGAGAAGAATTGAGAATAATTTTGGACTTCATTCAATTTTTACGAAATATTTTTGCAATAATAATTAATTAATAAATTGGCTGAAAATTTGTCTGAGTACATTCACTATTTTATTACGAGGCAAGTATACGTATTTCAAGACGCCTATTGAATTTGACTCACCTTAGTTATGAGCTGCAATGAACAAATTACTATTGCGCACGCATTGTCAATCATCATCGCTTTTTTTCATTTTAAATTCATTTTGTTCGTATTTCCAAATCACTTTCGACTCAAACTTTAGCTCGACGAAACATGATGCATCTTCCGCAGGCAGCTTTTAACAGCGCATTAAACACGCTACTAATACTCCTAGAGCCAAGACTTGTTTATCTCACTTTTAAAAAGTGCATCCCAGTCAACGTAAAATAAGAGATTTCATCATCGAATTGATGACATTTAGTTTACGAGCCCATGTTGCTAACCCAACCGCACAGCGACAAACATCAAATCGCATAATTCACATCATCTGCACCGTATTTTACAAAGCTAAAAATCTCAAAGTATTACACAGAACATGCACTCCACTTGCTCCATTCTCCTGCTCAGCGCTACACATTTCGGTAAACCAGTTTTTACCATACAATTGGTATTTTCTAAACACAACGTACCATTCATTATATATATTGAAATATAAGTATGATGTGCAAACATCCAGCACTAAATGACTTTTTTTCTTCTTTCAACATTTCAAAAAGCGATTGCGCACTGAATTAGATTCGAAATGATGCCGAATGAGCAAAAGGATGTAACAAAGATGCATTTCAAGATACACAATCTCGTGAGCTCCATACATAATATTTTTTTTCACGATATTTTGATATTTCATACGACTGAATTAAAAGGCAACAGCTTAAATGTCACTTTCATTATGTGATGCGCTCAAAAATGGATTCGGTTTCCTATATAGAAACATTGAAATACTGGATAGGAAAAAAAAATATTTTAATTAAATTCACGGTTTTGAGGTGCCAACAAGATTTAAACATTTCAGTAGAATTCCTTCGTTGACATTAAGTTACCTAATATATGGATCACAATGCGTTGTCATTTTTAGGTATTAACAAAGTTGTACCCGGAACAGAACAAACATCAATCAATTTGCTGCATGAAATTCAAAAACGCCACATTGTTCAAATGAAGTCCACATAGAAATCGGATGATCCCGGTCCGCGGCGTACACGGCTAGTAACCCTGGTTACGACCTTTAGATAATAGTAAAATAAAATTTACGAACCTATTTCGAAATTTCACAATCATAAAGTAAGACATATCAATCATTTGGAAACTAAACTTTGAATGCATAACGAATGAATCCGCAATGGATTTGCGTGTTTGTTGAATGTTCCAAGAAATTACTGACTCACTGCGTTGTTAGTTTGTTACGGTTGATTTCGATGATAAATGAAAAACCTTTTTATCAGCAGCAGAAGAAGTATAGATCCCAATGGCTTCATTCTGACGAAAATTGTCAATGTTATATACAATTTTGTTAACATAATCTAATCACGGCCCGTAATATCAAACGAAATAATTTTCGGAAAACTAAAAACGGTAATAAAATAATTTTCAATGAATACTAATTATAAATATTACTGATGTTAGTTCTTAATGGAATCATTTCAAAAGTAAAATACACTCATACACCTATAAAATATTCGATTCGGGAAATGTACAACTTTAAAATGCATCTATTTATGTGAGGATATTATGTTCGGATGTAGTTTTTCCTGGAATAGCTTGATTATTCGTAGCCAGTAATAACATAATAGCCATCACATTTCGCTGCAATCTAAAATAAATCATTGAGATTTGATTGAAAAACGAAAGCAAAATCAAATGCCGAAATTCTCGTAAAACATTTAAATTCACATCATCATTTATTTTAGATTGGATACACGAGAGAAACGTTCAATAAATTCTGCGAGCTGGAAATTAAGTAGCCGCCTTAGTGGTTTTGGCTTCGTGTGTTTGCTGCTGTTTGTATATTCGTTTTGGTTTCTTGTTTTTTGTTTTTGTTTTGGTAATTGTTTGATCAGCGGAACGCAGTATTAGGTTTATCCAAGTGCATTGAATTGTTTTTTTTTCACCGAACATTTCTCCTTTGATTTATTCCCCTCTTCTGCTTTGTGTGTATTTTCTGAAAATTAACCGTTGTACTTGTATTGCGTTTGCATGAGCACTTTCGTAACCATCGATGAATGTGAACTAAATATTGTAATTGAGTGGTTTATAACATTCGATTTATGGTTGGTTTTCAGCGTATTTCAGTGTTTTGACAGTTCAAATAAACGATTCGATGTGATTCAGTTGAATAATAGTA